TCCTCCAGCACCCCCTCTTCCCCCTCCCCCTCTCCTCCTCCTTCCCCCCTCCACCTCCTCCTCCAGCACCCCCTCTTCCTCCTCCCCCTCTCTTCCTCCTCCCCCCCTCCACATCCTCCTCTTCCCTGGGCGGTTGGGTGCCGCCTGCGCCTGGAGGGAAACTTAAGCGGAATTGATTTTAGCTGCTGCTGCTGATGGTGGTGGGAAGACTTCAAATCCGAAATGGAATGGCGGCTGAATGTGATTGAATGGTGGCGGCTTTTGCAGCAGCTGCTGGTGACGGTAAAATAAATAATAATAGTAGTAATGGTTGTGGTGGTGGTGGTCGTATTGCTATTCCTGAGGCTCTCTGGTGGCTACTCGAGAGCCACAGCGCCGTGTTTTTGCAGAAGTTACAGCTGCTTTGGAACTGGGAGGAAACTGTCTGTCTGTCTGTCTGTCTGTGTCTGGCAATCAGCAGTGCTGCCGACCTGCCTCTGTTCTGGCTCCGACCTCCCTCGCCTCCCTGCAAATAGTTAAGACCCTACATCTTCCTGGTATTCAATAGGTGGTGGCGCGGGTGGTGGCTCTTGGTAATCGAAGTAATGGGGGTGATGTATGACGCTGATGAGGTTCATCATCATGAACTGATGACGATGGTGGGGTTGGGGTTGGGGTTGGGGGTGAATGGATGGGAGATCGGAATACATCTGGTTGGCATGTGTTGCCAATCTGAGGGTTCATGGTGGTGGGCTGGCTTGCACTCCTGGCACCACACACCGGTGAACGCGGACAGATTTGCCTACATGTGCACGTCTGTCACCATCTTTTGCCAGCATCACTTGATGTTGTACTGTTGCCGTAATGTGATATGGTAATAATGCGCGGGTGGGTTTGCTTCTCACACGAGTCAAAGAATGTTGACTCTTTTCTTGACGCCCCCTCTGACACTTTTTTCTCTTTGTCACACACTTCTAGCTTTATGGTTCAGTGCCTTTTGACCTTCTAGTCCAAAAGCGCCTCATTCATCCATTGAGCGGTTTGTTTGGCGCGCGTCCAGTGAGCATGTCTCTCTGTCTGTTTTCCTGTCTGTCTGTTTGTCCGTCTAATTGCTGTCGCCATCCTCCTTGGAGAGAAACTTTGGCTTTGGGGGAAACCCCTTGCGGCTCTCCTGCGGATACACGCGCGTGTGTGTATGTATGTCTATATGTGTCCTAATGGACTGAGCAGCGAGAGAAGGAAAGGCTGCATGTATCTCTTGATAATGCGTGTGCGTGTTGTATGGTTGCTTTGCGGGTGTCTGTTATGCCCATACTGACGGGCGATCGAAAGGACTCCCCTCCCCTAGGGGGGGATTGGGGATTTAAGGGTTCGGGCGTGACATGAGCGGTGGCTACTACGTTGACCCGAACCTGGGCGACGTGGTGTTGGGCGGCGATTTAAAAAAAATCTTGAGGACACATTTGTCGATGTATGTAAGGATATTATGTTATAATATTACATTGATCGAAAGATGAATGCGGATACTGTCAAGGCGATAGTGATGAAACCGGTGAAGTGAGGCATCCAGAAATCCCACCGGGGTGCATTCGACGTTACCATTCACGACGTTATAACTTTTTGCCACTCAGTAGTACGATGCAAAGTACGTACATCAACGCCATTCTGGCGGGGTGGTTGCTTTGCCCTCGAGCCAGTCGTTTGGCTCCCTACTGCCACGATCTCCGCACCTCCATCTGCCTGTGTTGCAAGAAGACATTCACGAACGCCGGCATGTATGTATGCATGTACGTATGTATGTACGTACACCTTTTTTTCTCACAATTACAAAAAGCAAGCGCGGGAAAATATTGTAATGGTGGCTGTGGCAGTACGTGAATGTACTTTTCGGCGGTACTTCCGACTTGGTTGTTCGTTGATCGTTCTTCGTTTATTGGTATATGCTTCAGTAGACGAGCGCGACAAGTACGTTGTACGGCACACATGTGGCATCCTCACGTCGAGGGGATGAGAGGTATTTTTCCTCACTCACACGATCCCTCGGCGATTACCAGAGCCGTCATACAGCTCTTCCGCACGTAACGACGGTCGCATAATTGCCACACGAACGAGTGCGCGCGTGCAAGTCGATGTGTGTATCTTTGTTTGATCCGTTTCTGTTTGACAATCCGATACAAGAGAGATTCAACTAGGCGCACAACCCGGCACACCTGTCCTAATAAATTTGGTTGCCCGCTCAACTGACTTCCGGTGTACGATGTGCGCACGCGGCGAAATGCGTGCGCGCATTCATGGTGTATCTTGATCGCGAGGACTTTTCCGGTCCGCGGCGGTATGCGGCTAGTGGACAGTGCATGGCTCGTCCAGCATCCAACCCTTCCTTGCGTTTGCTTAGACGTGCCTTCTAGGAGATGTTGGCGCGCTGTATGTACGACTTTTAATGCAAGTGCCGCAACTTCGAGGCGCAAACGCGCGCACGACCCATGCCGTCGGTATTGTGCAATGTGCCTTCTTTTGCGTCGTAATATTGTGTGTCTGTGTGCGTGCCTTGTATGTCTGTCGCACGTTTTCTCATCGGGTATGGGTAATTGCTTTTCTTATTCCCCTTTTTTTGCCCCTTTTGAGTTGCCAAAATTTTAAATGGCCTTATTTACATCGCTACACAACAGAGAGGGAAAGCAGCCGAGCTTGATGAATTGCGTCGCCACTTTTGACCGTGGGTGAGCGCATGGCTTTTGTTGTGTTCCGGTATTTGTGAGAAGGAGCGGTTTGGACTCGGAACTGACATGAGATGGAGCTATTCCGGTACCAACAGTCACCAGCAGCTATAAAAAAGCGACGACAGCCAAAACCACATGCATCGATCCATCCATCTGTCCATCCATGTATCTCTTCAACTTCTTATGCCATGCGATTTGATGAGGTGCTTTGCTGTGATGGTACTATGCGGCGGGTGGAGTTAAAAAACTGTGTGAAGCACCCGATGCCCTCCCCAGGATTGTTGTGTGCATGTCCGTATGTATGTGTGTATTGAGCTGGCACAGCTATTCAGCCCGACTTCCTGACGGAGCTCTCTGTGTAACAACAGCCTATCGCATTTCCGCGCAGGTGAATAATTAAAAAAAATCGAGCCGCTCTAGCGCATCAATAAAAAAAAAGGTTAACAACATCGGGCCCAAGAGATCAACAGCAGCAAGTGTATTCCTAGCAGAGCAGGGGAAAGAATCCTATCAACCACCTCCGCGACTGGCAAGCCGTCCGCGAAATGATGATTAATTTGCTGCACTTGCCTCTTTTATTTTTAATGTAGGTGCTGCTGCGTCTAAAAACGGCGCAAGCTATACAAGAGCAGTAAATAAAGATGTATGATATTCATTTTCTGGTCACCATGGCCCTCGTAGGTTGGCTGGACCAGTGATTTTTTTTCATTTAGGGCGGGTCTCAATTTATTCCAACCTAAGTAACAAAGTTGCTAGGGTCGTCGTAATTTATTCCGTAAGTGTGGGGCGCTGGTGGGGGCTACGCCCCCCCCCAGACCCCCCCCGATAAGTTACAACTCCCCTCATAGACCAAGAGCCACGCACTGATTGGCGCGTTTTCGTTCATGTGCGCACTCTTTGCCGCTGGCAGCAACACCATTGCCGATGCATTACCGACAACAGCACCGCCATCCCAAACGCCTTTATCAGGAAAAATTTCAGGCTTATCTTGCTGTTTTAGTGTCTGTTCGACGTTCGAGTCGTTGCCTTGTGCGTGTTTGGCTATGTGAGGACCGGCTGCTATGCCGCGTTGACTCAAGGGCTTGACCTTGACCAGCCGCTGGACATGTGGAAAAAAAACATGAACGGCAGCAGGTGCTTAGAGTATCTGGGCCGGATCAGCCTAGTAGCCTGGTAGCGCCAGGATCAGCTCCAACAGCTGTAGTTGTAGTTTTGCACGATGTGGACGCGGCGCAACGCCCCCTCCTGGTTATCTAACCACCATTGAAACAATAAACGGCAAAGCTGCTTTTGCTTCACCAAAACATGCGGCCAAATCCTCCCAGTTGGGATCCGTCTTCCGTCCGCAAACGCCATGGGCACCCACTCCCATAACCGCATGCACCTCAAATGTCGCCGCCCACTATAGCCCGAGGAGGTCACCAGCGGTTGCCAGGAGCGCACACAACAAAATGGTGGCTCAACCCACACACCAGTCACCGGTGGCCAACCTCACGCGTCTCGCTGCTTCCGGACGATTGACATGACGTGACGTGAAGCTGAATTGATTTGATTGGACTTGACAGTTTACAGATGGCGGCGACTAAGCATGGCCTGTTAGGAACTTGAAGACAAGAAGGACAGCGCAAACGCGGTTTGTGAATCTTGGCCGCGAAGACGGCGCGTGAAACATGGCGTGGGAACGCTGACAACCGCAGACTAGTTTCGTACTCTCCTAGTTCTGTATGCGTCATATAAACCGGCGATAAATTTGACCCTTCCCTCAGACATACTAAAAGAATGCACTCTAGACGTGAAATAAAAAATTAAGCAGCCTTTGAAGCACAGGACGACCTAAGTATACAGCGTCAGAGAGCCAATTTGCAAATTAAGCTGCTTTAGCAGCGACGATCTGCGTGTATTGAATTCCTAAAGACTTCCGTGAGCAAAAGTGATAATTACCTATGCCCAAGCCACGAGCTTCAACGAGAACTGGAAAGGTACAAACGTACGACAAAGAAAGCACATTCTACGACCATCATCAGGGCCATGTCACGGACTGCCACGCAAACACACGATGAGCAATCTTTTCCCTTCATCAAGACACCAATGCTGACCCGTACAGCTGCATGCAACATGACCGACGCATGTGTGCACATACACACACGCGTATAGAGATGGACGCGCTGGGTTTGTTCCCCTTTGTTCCCCAACACACAAAGCCAGTGGCGTTTGGTTGCGTTCGCTCCGGCCCCGGACATGGCGAGTCCTTCACTTTCCACAGCCCTGCTTCACCAGACCCTGAAAGTAAATACAGCTTACATGGGATCAAACCAGTGAGCGCTCAATACGCAAAAAGACATCATCAAGTCGCCATGCGAGCTATCTGCTGCTACATCTGCTGCTACGTGTGCTGCTACTGCAGCACTCAATATCTATAGTGGCCCGTTCGTTAATCATGCCCCCTCTACATCTCTTTCTGACGCAATAATAAGCTTCCCGGTGGCTTGGTGGCGGTGTCCCTTCTACCCACCCCGCCCGTGCAACTGTGCACACACCCCTGCCTGCTGCCTCGACGAAAGCCAAGTGCACGTATCCTACACTTGGCGTCCCGACAGACATCCCGCACTAGTTACACCACATTCCTACTTCTTTACCCAGCTCTTCATGCAGCGGTCAGGCATTGCCGGGGGACATGGTGTGATCATCGCACTACTCCAGCTTCTCCTTACACCTGCCAATCAGGATACCCGCCTTGTCCAGCGGAGCACTGATTGCACGGTGCAGAACGACGATGGACGTCGTTGGACCCACCGCCGCGGGGCTGCACGGGCGAGAAGGACCGCCGTCTCTGCCAACTGAATGCAGCACTCCGCTCAGGGGCAGGGCGGTGCAGAAGGCAGTGGTGATGGGGGACAAGGTTACAGAGACGGGTGGGTTGCTACCGGCGCTGGCCTGTGGCGCTGGATTGTATCTTGTGTTCTCACGAGGTGTGATGGTAGTGGTGGAGGAGGTTGAGGAAGTGGTGGCTGCGGAAAGCCTTGTTGGGGCGCGCAGAGTCGACGGCGAGTGGGTTTCATCGGTGCCACAGCCGCGCGTGGCAATAAACCTTCGACTGCATCTGGTGCTGCTGAGCGCGCAGCTGTTCCCAGGTGATGGCGACGATCCATCGGCAAGCGTAACACTCATCACGTGCTTGGAAGAGTCTTCGACCTTGACAAGTCCTCCAGCAGCCCACGTTGGCGACGCCGCGATAGGCGGCGATGGATTTCTATGCCTCACGGATAAAGCAGACCGTAATGGCTGTTTGGTATCCATTAAAGCGTGAAGGGCTTTGCTCCAAGCCGCTGAAGCATTCCAAAACGACGAGGTAGACGTGGAGGCGGAGCCGGTGTTGGAATCAAGACGAGGAGAATAATCCTTCTCAAATTGACGACATGGCTTTGGTGAACAAAGTACGCCTTCAGCAGGGCTTATCACCGCGCGGATGTCCCATCCGGTCTCAACATAATCGGCGACTTGTATCAGGGAATCCATCTTGCTTCCTGTGGAGACTGCTCCCAGCGTACTTGATAATCAACCAGCCAGCACGCGCTTTGGGCGAGTTCACAATGCTACCGTGGAAACTTTAGGGGGAAGATGATGTGCCATAATACCGTGGCAAACGAATTGTCTACCTGCAACAAGCTAGTAACGATTTTGTGAAAGCATTATTGTGAAGAACCCGTCTTACGACTTTGCCGCCCGCCTGCAGAGGAAAAGCGAGGGGCTTACTTCTCACTAACCCAGCGCCAATGCATCAAAATTTAAAAACCCAAAAAAGGCTACATAGGTCCTACTAATGTAAGGTCTTTCGCTTTAGGTTTTCGCGGAAGGCGACCATATCGACGTACGAAGCATGACTACGTGACTTACTTTCTGTTGCCTTGAAGCAAGTCCACCTGCACTTAGGAAGCCATCTAATAGGTATGGCTGATGGTGTTTTACATGTGCCTAACATTGGTCAAAACTGCCCCGACAGACCCCTTACCGCACTGCGACCACGCAACACGCAGAATGCAACAGAACACATCGCCGTAAGCGCCATAATTCAAGCGTGGTCGTCGCCATCGTGATCGTAATGTTTAATAGGCTCACTAGTGCCTGCCCCAGGCTCCTGCCGCCGTTGCTGTTCAAATGCCCAAAACCGCTGTCGTTGCTATTCAATGCGCGTTGCTATTCAAACGCGGCACAACCGTAGTTAAAATGGCCAAAATATTATCCATTACCTTCTACTAGTCCTACGCTACCTCATCTTGTTGTTCGCTGTGCAGTGAACAATTCAACAGCAGGCTCCCTGCCCCCTCGCGTCAGGACACTCCTGTGCGTGGCCGCGGAGGTACCGCCGCCGGTTACGGTAGCAGTGGTCCTGTTGGTGTTATCCACGGTACAGTGGTGTCTTGTTAGTGCTCTCATATCGCCAGCCCCATCGGAGGTACTACTGCCCGTGGGGTGCAGCTAGGCGCAGCTAGGTGTACCTGCAACTCCGCTGCATAAGCAGGTCTATTTACCATACTTTGGCCGCTTGCTTGGGAGGCCATTGAATGGGCCGGGCAGCTCATGACAAAGGGGTGCTTGCTTGCTTTTTTTCCTTTTCCTAAAGGAAAAAAGCAGGTCCCTGTCGGGTCCTAGGGCGGGTGTCATTCACCACCAGCAGGTAATGAACCGGGCTGAGAACTCCTCCCAAGCAAATGCTTGGTTCTGCCTCTTATCAGGTCTTTGCTGGTAACAATTCTGAGTTGCTTCCCCCTCGTCTCTCGTCTATCTGATCGCCTGAGCACAAGCACGGGCAAAAGGGCAGCGAGCACGGGCAGGATATCCCTTCTCCCGCTTCACCCAAGAGCACGTTCCCCTCCCACCAAGATCTAATCTAAAATTCCCGTTCCTAACCAAGAACTCGCAAACCCTAAGCCTCCCGTACGCGCATCCTTTGTCGAGGCTACAGTTGTAAGACGCAACACAGGAAAAAGAAGTTGCTTGGCTCCGTACCAAGTGCAACCAATTTCAACCAACTTTAACCAACTGTAAATCTGCAAGCTGGAACTTAGGGATGAGTGCGTCTTCAATCTCAAGCGCATCTCTCCCGCCCCTCCTTACAGGCCATTCGACCCGGGTTCAAATCCGCCTGCCGACCTCTCGGGTGTTTGAGAGGTGGTGAAATGGGAGGGGGCCCCCCATCTTGTGGACGGTGTAGGACGTGATAAGATCAACTCGCTAGCTGGCTAGGAACTAAGTTGAGGCGCCGTTGATCCGCTAGATTTGGTTGGATGCTGGTGGTGAGTTGCCAAACTCAAAGAGTACATTCTGAAGTCGGATGGGGTGAATGGCTTAGGGTGCCCCTCTAGCAGGGGAGAGCAGGGAATTGCCTCGGGAAGGAGGCCACTGGTGAAGCTTAACCACCCTGTAACAACATCAACAAAGGTCTCCTCTTTGGCACAAGACTTCCAACGATATCGTTGTGCTGTGGTCATCACTTTTGTCAAAGCGCGGGGGTTACGTATTAAAACAGCAGTCGCATTTAAACTTCCAAAGGGTGATGTCACAATGAGGGTTTGACAGAAATCCAACTCCAACTCCAAATCCAAAAATCCAACCCCACTCGCTGCCAACCACAACAGCGCATCAAAAACAACGGCCCATTTAAATCAGTGTCTATTAATGCATATTCCATTTAATATATAACTTTCTTTCATTTCGTTTCACTATTTCCACACAGCCGGAAGTATCTCCAGCGCCACCTCCTTCAGCGACGGCATCTTGTCGCTCGTCCACAGCACCCGTACGTCATTCTCGTCCAACGGATTTCGCAACAGCAGCTGCCAGGGGCCCGGGTAGCACCGGAACAATGTGGCTATAATCCATCCATCCATCCATCCATCCATCCAGACCGGGGGTTTGGGGCGCAAAAGGGAAGGGTTTTAGGGCGAAGGGGGGGGGTCGTGAAGAGGACGATTTGTTAGGGTTTCAGAAATACATCACACGACCGCCAACAGCAGTCCGTTGTTCGCACGCGGCCGGCTCGCTATCTATCCGGTGGGTTAGGTGCCTGATCAAGCATGCGGCGCTTAATCACGCAACCCGAGAATCAATTCCATTCCCCGTTTCCCTTGTGCGCCACATACGCACCATACGCGGCTCATTACACGCAAATAAACATACACGTACACGTGCACGTATATACACACTCTTCCCCCAGCTCCCCCCTACGCGCCCTTTCCCCTGCCCCTTCTCCCCCTCCTCCCCTTTCCCCGGTCACCCCCCTCCCCCCACATCGGGCCCACCTGGCCTATTGCCCTTGAAGTTATGGATGTAATAGGCGGTCGTCATTAGCGGGAACAGCTCCTTACCGAACTGATGACGTGGCGGTGTACGATACGAGGCGAGGAGTTGGGGATTGGGAGTTGGGAATTGGGAATTGGGATGGGCCGGTGCGTCCTCTGGTAAAACAATGAGTGGCGTGGAAAGGGCTATAAAGAAGGGGCAGAATAGTAACAACTGAAAATGCAATATCAGCAAAATCGTTTTGCACGCGTGTGTAAGAAGCGGCTTAGTGGCGGCTGGGGGATTGTCTCATTGGCGTCAATTCGAAGGGATGTCGGTTGGAGGAGCTTTCAACGGTTGACAGTTGGTCAGTGACGGTTGACAACTGTCCTGTCGTGTTGTGTGGGTGTTAACGCCACCTGACCCGACCTGACCGGAGGGCCTTATGTTGGCCAACGGGGGGGAGGGGAAGGGGGAAGAGGGTAATAAAATACTCCATGGCTTTGTCAGAGCTGACGGGAAACGGCCCAATAAGGATGAACTCTCCGAAACCACCCGCCGGGTGGGAAAGAGTGTGGCGTGAGGAGGGGTTGCTGGCCCCGCGCGCAGGCGTGTCTATGCGTGTGTGTGTGTATGTGTTTTTGTTAGTTTCACCCGCTGCTTTCGGCCCCCTTCACTAGCACAAACACCTCTCCAAAACCCCTCCAAAGTAAAACACTTGCCGTACTTCCGCTCTTAGTGGGTTGGCTACACAGCGCTCACTCACCCCCGCACCCACCTTTGCAATTTCCGGGAAGAACAGCGCCGGGTAGTAGCCGCCGCGAACCCGGTCCAGCTCGCCTGTGTGTGTATGTATGTGTGGATATGTGTGAATATGTGTGAATATGTTTATGTGTATGGGCTGGATACATACGGCACATTGCGAAGGGGGACTGTATCTGAGGTCACAGACGTAAATACACGAGGGGAACTTCACAGCTCCTCATCCAGGCAAACCGGTGAACAAGGTAAACGCAGGTGGTGGAAAGGTGGTCGGTGGTGGAGGGCATGGGAGGGGACAGATGCAGTTTGTCGATTAGTAGCCATAACTTAGCATTTTTAGGGGAGGTCAATCATGTACGGCAAACAGTTCTAGGGGGTTAATGATGTACGGCAACCAGCGATGTACGGCAATCAGCAAATCCGTTTCCCACCAGGCGCCCGAAGGCTCCCCGCTCGCTCCCCCCACACCTGGCCTCCGGTGAACCCCCCTCAAGCCCCCCCGTCCTCGGGCAGCGGCAATAAATGGCCTCTTGTTTTCCCACCTACCTACCCGCACCATCACCACCACCTGCACACACATACACACGCCATCCCCCCCCCTCCCCCCAACACCCCTTCCCCCCAACACCTCCCCCAAACCCCCCCTCCCCCCAACCCTGTGGTGCATTAAATTCACCCTTTCATCCGATTGTTGGTTTCCCCGAAACCCCGAGAAACATGCGCACGCGGACACATACACACACCATTAAAGATGATAATGGGCATCTTGCGATCTCGAGCCACCTTGTCGTACAAGTCGTACACAGCGCTCAGCTCCTCTTTCCAGCCGGAGGGTATATGTATGTGTGTATGTGCACATACCGGCATGCCGCCAAGCCCCATAACACCGCCGCCCCGAATGCGTGTTGACACAGGGGAAAGCGTGTGGGCAAACACACAGCATGTGTACAGCCAGGAAAGTGGGCGGGGGGAGAGGCGGGGGAAGAGAGAAGCCCTAGGTTAAGAGGGAGTTAGGATGAGGGCGTTAGGTACGACATGACAATCCCCTTACAGTACGACACGACAATCCCCTCCCCCTCTCCCTTCCCTCTCCACACACAACCCGGCATCCTCGCTACAAGTCACCGATCCGGTGTAAAGAAACTTAATAGCTTTATTGCTGCTCCGCAATTGGTGATGGGTCCGTGTTTTTTCCCAGAACCGGTGGCTCTTCGCCCTCATTTTAAAACCCTGTTACCTCATTTTAAAACCCTGTAAAACCGTCGTCATTACCCCCAGACCTCGGGGCCCACCTCGGGGGTTGAAGGAGGGGTAAGCGATCACAAGCATGTCATCCGTATCTTTGACAAGTTTGACTGGGTCAAACCCAGATCTGTATGGCAGCGGTTGGGTTTCGGAGCGTGGTGTGAAAAGCAATTTTTGGAAAGTGGAGCGAACGAACGAAGATAGGAACGACGGGAAGAGGCAGCATCAGACAGGGAAACGAGTGAGGAACGAAAAATAATGAAATAATGATGTATCTGACGATGTCGAAGGTGAATGTGTGGGACACTGACTGGTGAAAAACCCAGATGCAGCAGCAACGGCGCGCACGATACCGGTCGATGAGTGTACGAGAGGGACTCCCCTGGCGTGCGTGTGTGTGCGTGTGGTATGGGGTTTCGGAGCCTTGCGGCGGCCACAACGCACCTACAGCATCCTTCCTAGTTCCAACTCCCAAGCCCCTTAGGAGTTACGAGTACGAGTACGAGTACGGCAATACCGCCAACAGTACGATAGACTTTCTCGCCGGTGGAGGACCAAAGGACTTGTCGGACGATGGAGCTGCTACCTGCGGACGGCGTGTCGTTCCAGATGCAGCTGGATCGGTCAGCGCCGGGAACGGTCAGCGATGTGGATCGATGCGGGAAGCGTCCTCCGCCGCTCCCCCCGCCCACCACATCCACATTCTGACCGCCCGCACACCCGCGTACCTTATAACCAACTTAACCCCCACCCCACCCCACCCCACCCCACCCCACCCCACCCCACCCCACCCGCCAATTCCCGGGGGGGATGCCTTACTTGTAAAAGCCAAACACCGCCCAGGCCTGCCGGGGGGCGGGGGGGGGGTGTAAAATAGAACATACGCGTGTGTCTATGTGTGTGTGTGTGTTTTGAGGCAAGGTTTTTTTCGCTGTGGAGGAGATTTGCTATCTTCATCATCCTTCAGCTATGACCAGTGTTCGCACGGGTCCAGCTTTTCAAACACACACACACACACACACACACACACACACACACACACACACACACACACACACACACACACACACACACACACACACACACACACACACACACACACACACACACACGTCCGGACCTCTTTCACCCAGCCCCATGTGGCCACGAGCCCCCTCAGCCCCCTCCCACTTATCGCAGCCTTCCATCCTCTCCGTCATCAACCCCCAGCCCCACAGGGCCGGAACCCCAACCCCGGTGTCACTCCCCCCCCCGCCTCACCGCGTTCTGCTGTGTCAGGTAACCCAGTTGGAATACGGCATCTCCGAATTTTGGATCCAAAGATTTGCGGCCTGTGGAAGGGGAGGAGGTAATGCGCGTGTGTATGTAAGTATGTATGTATGTAACGGTGGGGAGAAGGGGAGAAGGGGCGGAGGGGAGAAGAGGCGGAGAAGCTGGGGGAGGAAGCTGCGTGTGTGTATGTGGCGGAGACTAAACACACATGGCCTCCAGACCGCGCTTCAACCGCTTCAACAAGCTGAACTGGTCAAACAGCCATGGCATCTACAGCAACAGCAATGGCACTAACAGCAGCAGTAGCAGCGGCAGCGGCAGCGGCAGGAGAATAACAAAATAATAATCCGTAGATATGTCCCGTTAACAAAGACCCCTACATGCGCGGGCGGAACCCGGGCTCCAGAACTAAATCCAAATCCAAATCCAGTCTACACAGAAAATCTTGAATTGTGTGTACGAATAAGGTTTATCAACCCAAACGCCCCTCCGTCCCAACTTGGTCCTTTTTCCCAAACCCCTCCCCCACCCCTACTCATCCCTTCTCCCCTCCTGCCTCTCTCCGTGGCCTCCCCCCACTCCACCCCACCCCACCCCACCCCCTCCTTCCCCGCTCTTTCCCCCCCACCCCCGCTCCCACCAGCTGCCGGGTCCTCCGTCTGACCGCTCCTCGCCACAGCCAGCTCCACATTGTCCGGGAAAAACACACGTGTGCTTGCCGCTCGGGACCTGTACGGCATCACGTGCATGTGCGTGAATGTGCATGTATGTACGTACATATGTATGTGCATATGCATGCGTATGTGGTTGACGTTACATGCGTATGTGGTTGACGTTACATGGTGTACGACATGGCGCGGCTAAGACCAAGCCACTGTTGATGTTGTAACTCTAAAACCCCTCTAAAACCCCCCTTGCGTGCCCTCCCGTGCTCCGACCCCGGGGGCACCAGAGGCCCCTATCCCCCTAAGGGGAGGGGACCTGCTGCAGATATGCGCGTGTGTAGGCGTGTGTGTTTTGTCTACGTGAGTGTGTGTTGATGAGCTGTATGTACCCCCCGGGCGCTTCCCGCTCACCCCGCCACCCCCCCCTGGCTCTACTTGGCGTCCCAGAATGGACACAATAGTCCTCTTCCCACATACACACAACCCGAACATCAGCTGAATAGGACTAATGACACAAACACACACACACATACACGCGCACACACACACATACACGCACCTGAACGCGCCCAGGAATTGGCGTAGGAAACCCATGGACGCGTTCATCTCGTTCTGCCCCTCACCATCACCTGCAGCAGCAGCCGCAACAGGACAGACAAACATATGCATGGACGGAGATGCTGATGTACAGACGTTTAGACAGATGGATGGATGGATGGGCGGACAGACAGACAAACGTTCACACGCACCAAAAGAGATACGGCGAGGGTGAGGGTGAGGGGAAGAGAGAAGGTAAGTGCGGAAACAAACGGAGACAGAAACAAAGGGAGCGACAAGCCACGCGGCCCCTAGGGCGGCCCCCAGTTCTCCCACCTCGACCCCGCACCTCCCAGACCCACCCACCCAGCACTACCAGCCGCCATTTCGTCACAGTACCTCCTCAGCGAGTAACGCCCACCAATCTTGCAGCAAAGTGTCCCCCTGCCCTCAACACACATACATACGTACACATACATACGTACACATACATACGTACACATACATACGTACACATACATACGTACACATACATACGTACGCATACATACGTACGCATACATACGTACACATACATACGTACACATACATACAGACGCACACCTGACACGGAGGACAGGGTTGTCGAGGGGAACTCCACCTCCACCAGGGGGGCACCATCCGCCAGGGCAGCTTTGACCGCCTCCTGGGCCTGATGGTGTGGAGGTGGTGGATTGCGGGGGTTGCGGGGGCGAGGGTGGGGAACGGGGAGTGGCGAAAAAGGGGGGACGGGGGAGTGGTTTGGTCGGGGTTGTGGTAGGGGACCGCTTGCCTCTGGCCCCGTGGGACCAGATGCGCCTACCGAATGCTGGAAGAGGGGGGCGGGAAAGCGCGGGAGCAACTAAGCACGGTGATGGGGGGAAGCGGGGGGGGAGTAACAGATGCAGGGACCTTGGTCGAGGGCGAGGTCGGGATCAAGGCGAAGGGGGGAGGGAGGGAAGAGCGGGGGGAGGTTGAGGGGAGAAGGCAGGTCGGTGAGGTGTGTGTATGTGTGTGTATGTGTATGTGTGAACGTGATGAGTAATATGGACGAGCGTCTTCACATCACATGGCACTACACCGCACCACACCACGCCGTTTTGGAGGTTGTGGTGGCCGCGGCGGCAGGGAGGAGTGGGACGTGACTAGCTTGCCAGGTACATGAGAGCTTCAGTTCATAGGTATCGTACACCTCGTACGGATGTATGGAGTATACGGGACGTACCTGCCGCATCGCCTGGTCGTAGCTTACGGGGAAAGGTGCTGGCGCCTGACGGTGGGGTGTGCGTGTGTATATATGTGTGTGAGGTGATGATCAGGGTGGAAGGGGGGGAGAAGAGTCAGTAAGGGGTTGGGGGAGTGGGAAGGAAATTCCTAGGGGGATAGAATCGGTAGAGGGGTCAAAGGCGCATGGGGACGGACGACACCGCCCCGTACTAGAGACTAGACACGGCCCACGTGGTGCAGCATGTTGCGGCATGGCCAGAACGGGTAGATGTGCGTGTGTGCGCCGGTGTGTGTTTTGCAGTTGCCTGGGATCCCGGCGGACATGGGTGTGTGCGCGCGCATCCGAACCTGACTTTTCCGGCAGCATCCGGCCTTTTTTTCTCGCCCTACATTTCCCTTCCCTTTTCACCTTTATCTCTCCCTCCGTCCACGGCACACACACGCAAAACAATTTTTACAACGTGCATTTTGTCGTCTGGAGGATCCTATGCTCCTTAACCTTTTTGCATGTATCGGCCTAGCCCATCACCCTCCCAAAGCAGAGACCTAGGCCAGAACTCATTCAGGTCTACAGGCATCATAAGCTTTAATCCTTACATCATATTTAAGAATAATGTATGCTTTAACTAGGTTGCCTTTGTCTGAAGGGGAGAAGCTCTGCTGATGGAAGGCTTTGCTGATGTAGGCCTGTCTAGCAGTGCTGCCTAAGTATTTACCGCGATTTCATTCTTTGCATGTCACCTGTAATCGCGCCTCAGACTGCTGTTGCTGGGCGGCAAGGGGAGCGCTGCCAAGTCCACGAGTTGCACGCCGCGGAGCAGCGCAACGCTGCCTTAAGCTCCCAGTTTGCTTAGGCAGGTTCTGTAGCATCATAATGATTGCGCTTTATTATCGTCCGGAGGTTCAAGGACGATAGGTTAAACGTTAACTTCAACTACTGCAAGCGCAACCGAGCGACTGCCTGTGCGGTGAGGATCGCAGCTAAGCAGTATGGATGCACAGAAATTTGTGTGCATCAACGATGCCAATGTGTCTGCTCTAGCTATAAAGATCCAAAATAGACACCTTTACTAATGACTTGCAGCATTAGTGCATCCAACGCGTTTGCTTTTCACCTAAATTACACTTTTTTTAATAAACCCATGTTATAATAATAATCAAATCATATAACAATCTTGGTTGAGGCTTTGATTGCTCTCCGCGTTGTTCAGGATGATTCAGCTTGACGTATCAACGATTAGCTGGAACACGCGCTTCAAGCCCAAGTTCCCGACGAAGCAAGCAATATGATCTGGAATTTGGCTAGAGGCGATATTGCTGTACCCCTCCCTCAATACGCTAGAACCCCCCAAGGTGGCTCAGGTGTAGCTGTTATGGAGATGGGGCCGGGGAGGGGCTACCTCAGGCCACCCCTGGCAGCGTGCTTTGGGGTGCAGCGCCTGGTGGCGACGGACGTCAAGTCAGCGTTGAAGCACAAGGCGGGGGGATAAGGGGTTAAAGGGGTTAAATGGGGGGGCCTCATGTGCGAGAAAGCGGGAAATGAACTGCCGATGTCCAAGAGGTCCGAAACTGCTGGAGCCCTAAGCGGCGATGGGAAGGGGGGGAGATCTAGGGGTTTAGGTGTTTAGAGGGTGTTCTGTTTGTTGTGTGTTTTGCCGCACCTCTTTCCCCCCTATGTGCCTTCCGTCTCGTCGTACCTGTACGCCGCATCTTTCTCTCTCCTCTATGTCGACCTGCGCTCCTAGATTCGTACCGCAGATCTAACCGCCGTGTCGTACATATGCCCAGATTTGAGATTGACTTTCCTTTCCTAAAATCCTAAAACCCTAAAACTCTCCATCCAACCAGGAAAACTCCCGCCGCTCTTTGCACCTTCAGCGCCATGGCTTCCGGGCCCCCTCGTCGGCCTCGTCGGGCTCAGGGCCCACCAATCAGAGCCCCCGAGTTTAAACTTCCAGTTTTCCAGTTTTCCCAACGCGTCCTCTTCCCCCTCCCCCTCCCCATCGCACCCGCATCCACCCTACAAAAAACACAACCCGAAACAAACCCCCTGTTGGTCAGGCTGATCGCTGCATACGACACTTCGTATTTGGCCGGTATCGAGTGCATCTCAACGTCGGTAGTACTTTAAACCGTTTACCGCTGGGTACGGAGATGTACGGCATAAGGTAGGTTTCCTTTTGCGTGTGTTCCTCTTTTTCAAAATTGCCATTTTTGCCCCTGTAGGCCAGGTTGCGGTGTCCGTATGTTTTCCATCTTCCTCTTCTTCCTCTTGTTTCCCGCTAAATCCCTCTCGGAGGTGCGTGAGGGGGATGTTTCCGGCGACCTCCAGATTGTCTTCTCCCCTGTCCTGTCCCCTCTAACCCCCTTTCCACACATATACACACACATCAAGATGAACTGTCGGTGTAGATCGTATGATGTTATTACTTGGGGTATTGCTTTGGGGGATGGGTGTCAGATGCTGAGTAGTTGCGTCATCGCCTGGGACTACTTTAGTTGTCAGTTATCAGTTAATTGTCAGTGTGCGTGTGTGAGGTGTCCGGCAAATGAACCCCTCCTCCCCCCCTCCTCTCCACCCGATTTCCTCACGGTCCACGTCCCAACATATGCGACAACAGGATTACGTCCCCTCTACCACACACGAGCAGCTGCCGCTGACCGGCAGTTCTGAACCCACCGCCAGGCTCGCATAGCACTGCATGACTGATCGGATGCATGCGCGGTGTACAGTATGCGTTCCACGCACGCATGTCGAGATGTCGTGCAGTCCAATAGCGATAGCCTTCGCTCTACTTCTCAGTGCAGTAACGTCATCATCAACTGCCGCAGGAAGGGAGGCGCACAATGCCCCCATTACCCTCCATTCGTGACCTTTCGGTTCCCCCTGCTGCGTCCTTTCCCCTGACGTACATCCAGAATGAGCCACCAGACCGAGTAGCGTGGGGATGCGGTGGCGGACGTCCTCCCGTGCTGGGGGACCTTTCCATTGCCTGCCTTGTCTCTAATGAGCTCGTGTGGCCGTTCCTAGACATTTATCCTGACCAATAATTGTACCAATCTGTGGTGGTCACTTGGGCATCACGATTACCCCACGTAGCAATAGACAGTACACGGTCGCACATGCAGTACGCGGAGGAAGGAGGGCAAGTACCATGCAGCTAGGCAGGCGATGTCGCGGGCATGGGAGGAGGGAACAGGGGTAGGTAAGCTTGGGACATGGGGCAGAGGTAGCACCCTATTGTGTCATACAACAGCCGCAAAGTGCGGGAGCAGGTCCAGCAGCTATGGCATGGAGGATCGGAATACACGCAGAACTTGGGGGCGTATGATAGTGTGCGTTGCCTCGGTGTTAAACGATTAGGGACAGATAGGCTTCGGATGGATTAATTGGGTTTCATCTGTGGGTTGAATGGCTGGATGGTGCCGTGCGAAACGGAACAGGGTAGGCGTCCGTGTTTTCCAAAGTCTGACGAACCCTGCGGCTTGGGTGCGGTCTGGATCCGGAGAGCCATACCGGCCCCCAGTTGTGGTGGCTTTAATAGTCGGCTGAAGAAGCGCGAATCGTTCAGGGCACGAATCGCCCAGGGTATGCACCCAGGCAAGAAACTGCTCAACGCCAATCTCTCATATCTTTCCAGACGAGCTTTTACTGGCTCCATAGAACATGCAAGTTAATTGGCATGGGATGGCTGATAGACCCCAAACGCACGATCGCCAAGCGTGCAACCAATGCATGCTCCTTTACTCGGTTATGAAGTCAAAACGAATATGACAAGCATCATCAGTCCCATGACTACAAGTTTAGACGTTGTCCTTGTAGGTAGCAAAGGCGAATCCGTAATGGACGTCTTGTAAACCCTCTTCAGCTCACTAGATGGAGAAAACATTTTCATATTAGGTAATTTATAATGAACTCTGTATGCTGTATTCATTGTTACAGCTTTAGTCTTTCAGTGCTCAAGTTGGCCTCCAGGGAGGTGCCGCCGGTCGTTCGTGGGGTTGCCCTCCAAGTGCCGCGCTCGCTCCCCGGCTTCCCTCTCTTGTCTTGTCGTCAGGTATGTTCTTTATGTTCGCAAGTTTTAATCTGTCTATTATGTGACGTACTCATCCTCTTCTTTTAACTTTATACAGACACAAGGCGAGCCAAAATGGCGTCCAAACGCAAGGGTGGCACGTCCGGAAACAAGTTCCGCATGGCCCTGGGTCTCCCAGTGGCTGCGGTGATGAACTGCGCAGACAACACAGGCGCGAAGAACCTGTACGTCATTTCGGTCGTCGGCTGGGGCAGCAGGCTGAACCGCCTGCCGGCCGCCGCTTGCGGTGACATGGTGATGGCCTCTGTCAAGAAGGGCAAGCCTGACTTGCGCAAGAAGGGTGAGCAGTGTATCTTTGCTGGCAGCGGCTGCGGCGGCTGCGTCATTGCGTATCGGTGTGGCGCAGCTAGTTTTCACTATACCAGACTTGGAGCTCGTTATTTATGGCGTTCTACTGCAATTGGGGCTTCTTCTTCGGCTTGCCTAAGCTATATGGCAGCATGGAAGGAAATGGTTTGGTGTTGCATTTCGACCTATCTTCAAGTGGGATTACATTATTAAGTGCATCTTGTCCTGTGTATCCTTGTAGTGACCCCGGCGGTCGTTATCCGCCAGCGCAAGCCCTTCCGCCGGAAGGAGGGTGTGTACATCTACTTCGAGGACAATGCGGGCGTAATCGTCAACCCTAAGGGTGAAATGAAGGGCTCCGCCATCACTGGCCCCGTCGCCAAGGAGTGCGCTGACCTCTGGCCGCGTATCGCCAGCGCGGCCAACTCTATCGTTTAGGTGAGGCCTGGGTTGTACGAGGTGGGCGTGGCAGGTTAGCCCAATTTCGCTGCGGTGTTAACACTCGATGGAGTCACGTATGAGGTGTGATCAGGGTTGGTGCGTTGACGAAACGGCCTTGTTGTCCTTCCTCTCTATTAATAACCATTACCCTAAAAGCCGCTTACTGCGTTCCCCTCCCCCCTGGTTTTCCGCTGCCCCTGCAGGAAGTTGCTCGCTCCTGTAACGGCTAGCCGCGCTATAGTGTCCCTGTTCCCTTGCATGTCCATTTTTGCTGCACGGAGAGTCAAGAACCAGCTTTTTTTACAGCTTGCGGGCAACAGTAATGGACAGAAGCAGCTTCCCAGTTATCGTAAGAAATTACGGCGTCGCATATTTTGCAGTGGAAAAGGCTATATATGGATCAGAGCCTTCAGCGGACGTTGCTGGCTCCTTACAAGCATGGCCGCAGTGGAAGGCATGGGTTTGCAAGGGTAGTGCTGACCGGGCCTTATCCGAAATCGGAAGCGGTAAGCAACTACGCATTAAAAGTTGTTTCGCGCTTAAGAGGCGAAGGATCGCGGCCTCATTCCCAGCAAGTAAGTCAGAAGCGTCTATGTGAAATGTTTAGTTGGCAGGACAGCAGCACACGCATGCATCCAAAAGCGCATATGCAGGTCATCCTCGTCGTGGTGATGACTGGGACAGGAGTGTCGCACCCTCTCGCGGACAGCAGCACTGCTTCCTGGCTACGTACAACGATGTAGGACCGCTAAGTTCCTGGATGCGGTTCTTCTTGACTTGTTGTCCGTCTGCAAGTGTGCATCCGCATGTTCCGCATCTGCCTTGGTCTATCATGAGCGCTCAGCGGTTTATTCGGTGACGGGCCGTCGAAAAAGTAATGGCGGGTTGATCGGGTAAGTGTCGTGACCGTTTGCTGTGAGGCGGGTTTGGCCAGTTGCACGTCTTAGGGTTCTACCTGTCTGCATCTCCTCCTTTATGCCTTGCCGTAGTGTTGGCACTGTGTCCATGGCCCCCCAACCAATCCTCTGGCATGATCTGGACTGACGGGTATATTCGCGGGATTGGAGTCAAGGTTCTGTTGTCCTGGCCGGAGTCTCACGTGTTACACCCGGACCGGATATACGGTGCATTTTCGACCAGACGTACCAGCTTGTGCTCGGTCTGGCGACGCTGTTTTTGTTCGTTTAGCGAGATTTGGGGACTCGTTGAGGTCTGGTAGTAGGGGGGATTTTGTTGGAGAGATACACGTCAAATCAAGCAGTCTAGTCTGACAAGTCGGCACGTCAGGGGATACGTATTGGTTGGCGTGTGTTTTATGTTGCTACGGGGATGTGGGTGTTTCTTTTCTTGAGACTTTACGGTGCGCTACTTCATCACAAAGCGGACTTCATTCCTATGCAGATTTGTTGGCTGGTTCGGATGGAGTATCCTGCTGCTGAATGACCGATGATGAGGCGTAATACAATTGGCTTAATCTTTGCTTACCCCTTGCTGGGAATGCTGAGATAAGTATGCGTCTGAGGCCATCAGCACGGCTTGCGTGTAAAGCATTACGTGGGTTCTCAGTGCATTTTCCAAGGAAAGGCGATGCAACCCTGGCGCAAGATTCCGGTACTTCTACTGGAGGCTTGGTGTGAACCTGCTGGTTGTTATCTTGTCCCCTGATGAATCGTAATACTAATATGGCTTAATCTTTTCTTACCTGTCATGGGTATGATGAGAGACGTATACGTCTGAGGGCAAGATGCACGAAACTCTCTTCAGGTTTGTTGCAAGATGGAGTGTTCACGCGCAGCTAAGATGCCTTGGATTTCCTTGTTGGGTTTGGTAAACTCGCTTCCGTCGCAAAGTGGACGCCGCTGTAATATTGAAAGATACAATATTGATCGCTTGTCTCTTGTGCCTCCATCGCGGCACCCCTGCACAAGGCATATCGTAACCAGTCGGCTCGGTGAACCTCATTGCCGGTTGCGGACCTGAACAGCCTGAAATAATTCAGCTTCAACTCTCCAGCTGAGCTGAGCGTTAATGCAGCACTTGTCTTCCAAATACTTGGAAACTTAAATCGTTTCGTGAGCACGCATTGAGAGCTTGATTATTAAGTTTAATTGGTGGTGCCGTACCGCTATGCGCGCATGCCCAGCATGCAAAGCGTGCAAGTCAGGCAGCAGACAATGCTTCGCTCCCTTCCGCAAGCATTTCATTTTTCACAATTACTCAGGATGAATACTTTGTTTCATGTAAGGAAGAACTCATTTTATTCTTGACTTCAGTGTTCTTGCGTTACTTGCAAGCTTATTGAAACATGGACGATTGAATTCTACGTCGAATTGCTCCGCTTGGCACATCCGGTGAATATACCCTTTCCCTTTTATCACTCCTTAGCCTGGTTGAACGCTCGGAAGCAGCTTAGGAGGAGAGTGAAATGCCGCGCTGGAAGCTGGTACCGCTAAGCGGTCTCGCGGTTGAGCTAACGCACGATGTGCATCTCAACAGCTGTCTCCGAATCGGGCGAAACGTGTCGGGGCCGGATGCCCTTACACTGCCACCTACGATGACGCAGTTCAGCGGGATGCATTGCCGGGTGTACGCCGACCTCATCACGGTGAGCCCCTTCACACATCAAAGACCTGCCATCCTCAAAACTGCAGTCCATGCTGTTTCGTACCTCCCATCCGCACATCTCAGCGAAATGTATTCCAAGTCAACGGTGGACTGCCACCCCCCTGAACAACTCAACCCAACCCCTAGCCATCCCAACCAACTTCCCCCCACAACAGCGCCTAGCCACGATGAGGACGCACGTGCCCTATCACCACACCAGTCACATTCCTCCTCCGTTCCTTCTAGCTCCCCCAGCGCTCCCGCCACGGTAGCAATGCCCGTCGTATCTCTGCCCTCATCCCGGTTCCCCATCCCTCATCCCCGCCTTCCCCCCTCGACCTTCCTCTTAACGACCTGTGCAACCATTCTCCTATCTAAACACAACTACTTCTCACCACCAACTACCAGTTGTCTCTTTGTGGCGTTTTGCATGTCATTCCCACCACCACCGCCACCGGACGTCCCCGCACCGATTCATACATCCTTCAGGGCACGGTGCAGTGGTATGTGGAGGACACCTCCACGAACGGCACCTTTGTGGACGGGGAGCGCATTGCCCGGAACAGCTCGGTGCGGCTGCAGGAGGGCGCCCGACTGAGGCTCAGCTCGCCACCGCAGGAGACTATCGAGTAAGTGGAAGGGCTATGTGGTGGGTGGAATAGCGGCGAAGGAGAGACAAGACACCTCTACAACGGGCTGGGCTGGGAGAGAAGAGGAGAGAAAAGAAAAGGGTTGGGGAGAGGAAGAGGGAGAGGAAAAGGGGTTTACAGGAAGGAAAAACCGCCGAGATTTGAGCACGCGATTCCTTGAATTTTTTTGCTAAAAATTTGAAATTCCCACATATGCCCTGCGGCCAATTGAATGTATTCACGTGAAGGTTTGAATTCGTGCGCGATGAAGCCGACGATGAGCGCGGTGACAACTACAGCCATTACAGCCGCCCTCTACATCATCAACAGCAGCAGCAGCAGCAGCTTGGCCTCCACCATCATCAGCTCCCGCACCCCCACCACGTGTCGCAGTACGGCGGCCATTATCCACCGCCGTACACGGCCGGCGCAGCTGGTGGCGGCGGCGGCAGCAGTGCGTTGCAAGCGCACGTGAAGGCGCAGCAAAGCCACGCGGGGTACGGCATTGGCGGCGGCGCTAATGCCGGCGGTGGGGGTTGCGGCGCGGCAACGGGTGTTGGCGGCGGCGGGGAGGGAACGAGCGTGCTGTCGCACCCGCAAGCGCCAGCATTACATCACAAACGCAAGGTACAGCACTCTCCGCAGCCGCAGCCGCAGCCGGGGAAGCGGGAAGGAGAAGCTTGTTGTTCGGTATAGAGGGTTCGCTGCTGCGAAGAGTATTGGGTTGTCCTGGGAAAGGAAAGGTAAACCGGACGCTGGGTGTCGTACTTGCCCCACAGGTCAACGACCTAGTCGACGGCGGCGGCGCCGACGACGCAATGGCCGCCGCCGCCGCCGCCGCGCCTGGTGCCTCCGCTATCGCACCCAACCGCAATGTCGCGCGGCGAATAAACAATAACACGCCTGCTACCACCGCCGGCGGCGGCGGCGGTGGCGGAGTTACCATGTCGTATGGCATGCCGCCGATGGGCATGGGTGGCGGTGGCACTGCCGCCGCCGCCATAGCCGCCGCGCGGACATCCTCGGCTGCAGCGGCGGCGGTGCCGAGCTTCTACGCCGGCGGCATGACGGCGACGCTGGGTGGCGCCGGCGGCGGCGGCGGTGCGGGTGCTAGTACGGAAGTGCTTGTCAACCTGCAAGCGCAGCTTAGAGCGGAAAAGAACGAAAAGGAGGTGTGCCGGGAGTGGTAGCCACAGCCCGTTCCCACAAGTCCTGACCCTGCCTTTCAAACCTGGCTGTATCCCCGCCTCCCCCACCACCCCTGCGGACGCTCCCGTTCGGTACCACCTCCCCCTCTCCACCTCCCCCTCTCCACCTCCCCCTCTCCACCTCCCCCTCTCCACTTCTCTCTCCCTTTCTCTCACATATGCACATATACACACACATACACACGCACGAGGAAACACACACACACACACCACGACTTCGCCGAACTGTTTGTGCCGGTAAAGTTACGCCTGTGTATGTGTATGTATGTGTGTGTGTGTGTGCACGTGCCATCTATCCTTGCCAGCTCCCCACCTGCCCTCCGCTGCTCACATCATCACTGGGAAAGAAGGCACACACCGCCGCAGCTACTGCCAGAGCTATATCCCTCCTGCTATCCATGCTGCTGCTCTTTTAGACTTCTAATGTGTATGCACGTATGGATGGATGTGTGCATGTGCATATGTACGCGCGTCTGGGTTGTGTGTGTGTGTGTGTATTTATCGGTGATGTGACGAGCTTCCCCAGGTAGTTAAGCGGCAGTTGGAGCAGTTGCGGCGGGAATGTGACGAGGCCACTCGCAGTCTGTCGGCGCTGAGGGAGCAGCACTCCTGCCTGGTGGACCGAAGTGCAAACGAAAGGCAGATGGTGAGGTGTGGGGGGGGGGGAGGAGGGTTGCGAGGGGGGGACGCAGGAACCCAAGTTAGGGGAGGTATTGATTGGGGGGAGAGGTGAGGGAGGTGAGGTTTTTGAAAGGCGATTGTCCGGGACGATATGAGGAAGCAGTATGTGAAACCCGTTGGGCGTGTGCACGCGCGCGGCAATGTGGTGGTGTACGGTGTGGGCGGCGGTGGGACGGCTTGTGCGGCCCCATGTACGGCGTTGTACTACGCTCTTAATTCAGAACCCCATCGTCCCGCCCGATCCACACGCCGGGATACACACAGCCCGCCTACCCCTGCCTGTTGTCGATTTCTCCGGGGCCCCGCCACGCGCGCACACAGACACACACATAAACACACACACATAAACACACACACATAAACACACACACACAACCCCCAACCCCCTGCCGTTACAGTGTGTGAGCCGTGAGGAAAATCTTCGCGGTATGCTGACCGCTGCGGAGGCTCGTGCGGATCTGGCGTCGCGTCAGGCAGAGACCGCGGCGGAGAGGGCCCGGGGAGAGCTGGCGGAGGCGGAGGGGGCGAGGAGGCATGCGGAGAGGGAGGCGGCGGACGCCAAGGTGGGGTGGGTGGGTGGGGGAGTGCGTGTGTGTGTGTGTGAGTAAGGGGAGCGGCCTGTGTTTCGAAAGGCTATCTAAGCGTGCAGTGCAAGTACTTAGGATATTCACAGAACATATATGTATGTATGCATGAATGTGTGCATGAATGTATGTATGTATGTATGTATGTATGTATGTATGTCTTCCTGCAGGTCCAGTTGGCGGCCATTCGCGAGGAGGTTGAGCGGCTGAGCGCGGAGCTGCGGGGGGAGAGGTCGGAGGCGGCGGCGCAGAGGGCGGCGGCGGGGGCCGCTCGTCGGGAGGTGGAGTCGGTGCGGGAGGCGCTGGCGGGGGAGCAGCGGGACAAGAAGGCGGAGCAGGTGGTGGGGTGGAGTGGGGGGCTGGGGAGAATGAGGAAGGAGAAGAAGTCGGTGGACAAGAAGGAGGAGAAACCTCCTAAGCCGTAATCACGCATTCCACATGCATGCGTGCATGCATACATACAGATAGACGGACATAAAGACTTTATAAAGGCATAACTTGGCTCCCCCCTGCAGGAGCGCGCTGAGCGGTTGCAGCAGCAGCTGGAGGTTGAGAAGGCCTCCGCAGCTGCCGCCCGGCGGATGGCGGAGCAGCACGAGGCGGAGCTGCGGGCGGCCAGGACGCAGACGGAGGACGAGCAGCGGGGCAGGAGGGGTGCGTACCCGTGTCTGTGTGCGTGTGTGTGTATGTGTATGGGGGAAAGGGGGAAGGGGGAAAGGGAGGGAAGCGGCTTGGGGGACAGGAAGGGCTTGAGGAGGGATTTCCTCCTATGGATGCGGAGGGAGCGGAGCGAGATGGTGAACCAGCGAACGATTAACCACATGTACTGGTGGATGATGACTACTAATAGCCTGGAACTATTATTACTATTACTACTACTACTACCACCACCATTAATACTAGTACTACTAGTACTACGACTGCTACTACTATGACGACGACAACGACGACTATTTGCGTCATGTATACACACCACACCTAACTCCCGGGGCCCCCCCCCCACTTGCCCCCCACCCCCACCCCCTCCGCTCCCCCCGCAGCTGCCATCGATGAGGCCCTCTCCCTCCGCGTCCAGTTGGAGGACGTGCGGCGGCAGGTGGGGCAGCTGCAGGAGAGGGTGCTGGGGCTGCAAGACGAACTGGCCACCCGCCACCACCGGCTGTGCGAGCTGTCCAAGTCGCATGCACAGGGGGAGCAGGTGGGGACCGGCAAGGGAGGGAAGGGCGGGGGGCAAGGGGGGCAAGCGAGTTAAAAAGCAAGAACTCTACGACAATCTGGGCCTTTCCCTGTACGGCAATAGACGTGGTGTCCGCAGTGGTGCCCATGTGCAGCTGGGGTGGAGGGGTGAGGGTGTTCGTTGAGGAGAGCGACGACCCGCATGGTTCCCCCACGGCGTTGGTCCGTTGGGTTTCCTCCTAACGCCGTACACACACTCGCCTCGGCCTTCTCATACACCAGTTCATTACCCCCCCACCTCCCACCCCAAAACCCTTCCCCCCACACACACGCAAACACATACGCGTGCGCGCCCTCATTCCCGCTCTCACAGCTTCTCAACGGTCTACACCAGACTCTAGCGGCTATGACCCACATGTACTCGACCCTCAGCCATCAGTACGCACAGGCCCTGGCGGCGGACGAACACGACATCCCACCGCCGCCAGTGCCAACGGCAGCTGGCGGCGGTGCCGGCAATGACGTTGCCGCCACTGCCGGTGCCGGCGCTGGCAGCGGCGGCGACGCAAGTGGCCATGGTCCTCAGGATCAGCAGCAGCAGCGGCACTTGGGGCCCCAGGGGTGTGTGGGGCCGCAGACCGAGGCGACCTGCGTGGACGAGCAGACGGGGGTGATGGGTTTGGCGGGTAATGCCGAGGCGCTGCGTGCGATCATGCAGTCGCAGCAGCAGCAGCATCTGGGGGCCGGCGGCGGCGGCATGGTGAGAGAGGAGAGGAAGGGCAGGGAGAGGGGCGGCGGGGGCGGAGAATAGTAAAAGTGGTAAAAGCGGTTTTATGTGTTGACAGTTGAGTTGAGTCGACGGCTCCGATCACGTCCCATCGCACCACAGGCGCTGAGAGCGTTATAACGACATGCGTTTATCTGTCTGTCTGTCTGTCTGTCTGTCTGTACGCGCTTACTATCATGGCGAGGCAGCTCTCAAGTCTCTGGGGATATAGATGGTGGTGATGATGATATGATGATGATGATGATCGTGATGGATCCTCATCCTCATCACCATCATTATCACCATGCGGAGGTTTCATTCCATGAGACGTATTACCGCTCTGCCGCGGCTCCTTAGTCCTCCCGCTCCGAAAACCGCCGCAACCAAGCTCACGCCCGAGCTCTCATTCACTTTTCACACACACACACACACACACACACACACCACCCACACACACAGACGTGTGCCCGCATGTTGCTGCCCTGCCCGCCCTGCCTGAAACCCACACCGCCCTGACCCCCTCCCCCTACACAATCCAGGCCCCACCGTCGCATCTGGGTCTCACCCACCAAACCGGTACTCTGCAGCTGCACCCGCCACCCGCCACACTGCCCACCGGCTACACAGCCTTTCCGGGCAGCGCAGGTGGTGCCAGTGGCGGCGGGGGCGGCGGCGGCGGCGGCGGCGGGTCAGCGCAGGCCGTCAGTCCGCGCATGTTTGGCAGCGCCGACCCCAACCTGCTGTTAACACCGCCCGCCGCCGGTCATAACGGCGTCAACGGCCTCAACAGCCTTAGCGGTAGCGGCGCTGTCGCCATCGCCGTACAGAACAACAACAACAACAACCTGACGCAGCAGCTCCACCTCATGCCTCAGCAGCAGCACCACCAGCAACAGCGCCACCACCCGCAAGCAGTTCATCCTCGACACTACCAACAGCAACAGCACCAAAAACAGCAGCAGTACCCCCCTCATCAACAGCAGCAGCACCAGCAGGTCTCCTTCTTCATGTCGCAGCAGCCGCAGCTACAGCAGCAATACCACCACTCTCAGTTCTTGGGTCAGGCCAGGCAGAACCTGGTGGGTCTGGGATCCATGCAGGACGGGACGGGACGCGGGGGCGGCGGCGGCACTGCCACCGCCGCCGTCACTCCGGCGGCGGCGACTGGGTCGCTGCCGGTCGGTCTGGCGTCGCAGCCACTGCAGCACGTCGGCTTTGCAACGCCGCAGTTGCAGCCGTACAATGACGCGGCGGCGGCCGGTCGCGGCGGGACGCAGCCGGGTCCCGCCGCCTTGACGCCGCTGCAGCAGTTGCCGCTGCCGGCAAGTCAGCAGCTGGAGTTGGGACTGGGTATGGGGCTGGGGGACAGTGAGGCCGGTGTGGTGGCCGCTGCAACCAATGGCGGCGTCAATGGCGGTGGCGGCGGCATGTTCCCCGGCACACGTGGCGGCAGTCAATTGCCTCTTCTCGGGGGCTTGCTGCATCTCTCGGAACAGCAGCAGCAGCAGCAGGAGCTGCAGCAACAAGGGGTGCTTCGTGGCGACGTGAGTACCTCGGGATTGGGATCGGGGTCTAAGTTACAGGAGTGTGTATCTGTGTGTATGTATGCATGCATGCATGTATGTGATCCTTTTTCGACTAATCAGAAGCATCTGGAATCTTAAGCACCTGGATCTTCGGGGAAAGGTTTCGGCACCAGCCAGCCATCTTTTGTTGTTGGCACCACCTTTCGTCAACCCGTGGCCCGGCCTGACCCATGGGTCGTCACTTGCCCCTTGCATCCTGCCCACCTGTTTTCCTGTTTCATGGTTGTTTATAGCTGGATGGCGTCCCCGCTGGCGGTGGCGGCGCGCCTTCGGCCGCGTCGGCCAGCCAACATACGACACCAGCGGCCGCTGCGCGCGCTGGCGGAGGCGGAGGCGATATTGAGGAGGACGCGGAGCGGCGAGATGTCAACTTGGGTGGAGGAGGTGGCACTGCCGCCGCCACACCTGAAGGGATGGGCGACGGATTCGGCGCCACCGCCGCTGCTGCCGCTGCCGGTGATGACGAGGAAGAGGAGGGTGACGGCTACACGAGCCGTGTGCGCACCGGCGGCAGCGGCAGCGACCGCCGCGACTCTCCAGGTGCCGCTGGGCCAGCGGCCATGGATGTGGACGACGCCTGCGGCGACGGCAGCGCTGCCGCCGCCGCAGGTTGTGCTGGCGTCGCACCGCAGGGACTCCGTCCAACGTCAGACCAGGGTCCCCACAACCAGCAACAGCGGTATGCAACACCAACGGTGGCGACGGCGCCACCGCAACCAGCCCCGATGGAAATGGTTGCTTCGGGAGGTATGTCGTCGCACCGCAACGCATCCATCAAGCCAGCGACCGGTGGCATGACACCGTGTGGGACGACGGCACCTCCTGAAGCGGCGCTGATCACCGCCGCCGCTGCTGCTGACGCTGGTAGCGGCGGCGCCGGCGGCAACACCTCGGGGCGCGACGTGGTAGCGGCGTGGCCGCGGCTGTTCAGCCGGCACCTCACGCCAACCAAGCAATCCAAGCACGCCAACGCCAACGCCACTGTCGGCGCCGTGGCCGTGATGGCGGATGGCGACAGTGATACCACTGCCGCTGCCGACGGTGCTGACGCCGCTGGGGATGGAGCGACGCCCGCCAGCCGACCGCGCTTGCCTATTGCTGACGGTGACGACAACACGGCCGGTGGGGGGGAAATCGTTACCAGCGGTGCCGGTGGCGGCGGCGTCAGCGCGCTGGTGCCGGCGGCGGCGGCGGTGGCGGCAGCGGCGGCGGCGGCTGGTCGCGCTGCCAGGGAAGACCATCGCCGGAGCCACGGCAAGAGCCAGCCGACGGGCTTTATGTACGACTTGGGCTACGCAGGCGGCGGAGGCGGCGACCTCGCGGAAGACGTCGCTCCAAGATCCCAGGACCTCCCCTCGCCGCAAGCACCTGCCGGTGGCGGCTCAGCTGTCACGGATGCGCCGCTAATGCGGGAGTGGAAGCAGCAGGCGCTTTCGGGGCAGGACTTGGCGGGCGGCATATTCCGTGGCACTTGCAGCCAGCAGCAGCAGCAGCTGGCGCAGCATCTGGGTCTGTCGCGCAGCTTTGCGGAGGGGCAGCGGGACAGTCTAGGGCAGCTGGTGTACGGCGGTACGGCAGGTGCGGGCGGCAGCGGTGGTGCCGGTATCATCGGCGGTATCGGCCTTCCGCCTGACGCCACAACATTGGGAACGAGTCCAGAACTCCGGCTGGGAATGGGAGCCTCGCAGGTTCCTCCTCCCGCCGCCACCGCCACCGCCGCTTCACCCCCCCCACCGCCGCTTCACCCCCCCACCGCCACCGCCGCTTCACCCCTGCCGGGTTCGGAGGAAGCGCTGGGCCTTGTGGGGTTGAGGGCGGGTCTTGGCGGGTCGCTGCTGGGGCGTGGAGCAGCCCGACATGAGTTTGCATATCAATCCCCCCCAGCCGTGGATGGCATGGTGGAGTAGTCATTGACCCTTGGTCCATGCACCCTATATGATTGCTAGTCAAAAATAGATTACGGTGGTGTTTGCAGCTGCTTGCGCCTGGTGCCGGTCGGGCATTTGTGTGTTTGGTGCATGGCGCTTTGATTGTTACTCCTTGATTTTGCTGTCACTGTGTGTTTGGCTGTGGATTGAGCTGGACGCGTATGAACTGGAATTATGAAAGGGGGATACGCTTCGTCGCCGGCTGGACGATTTCACATCGCCGCGCTTCCATGCTCGATGGCGGCCGGAGGTCTGTCTTGGTGAGCTGGTCTGCCGCGTTTCGTGTTTCGCTGTTTGTATGCTTAGGATTTGTTAACGGTGGATGTGCCCTCTGTCTGTGCGGTGTGTTGTGACCTGCATTGCATCATCATCGTCGTCGTTATCAGCAAAGCGATTCTGTAGAGGAAAGCTGTAAAAAGGAAAGAAGGCATGGCCGTGGTGTCGGGTGGGTGCTGGGCTAAGAAGGGCGGGTGCCCGAGCTGTTAGTGCAACATTTCACATATCCTCCTGACCCACCCACCCTTCCAGCATTTGGCGGGGCCGGCGGCGGCGGCTGATCCTTGGGTGGTGTCCAAATGTGTTGGTGTGTGCTAACTGTGCTGACCGTTGTCGTGATGGTGACCGCCTTCTCGATGGTGACGTTTTTCTTTGCGTTTTTTTATAGCCCATATAGCAGACCCTCCCCCAATATCGAAGGACAATCCGGTGATGACGGCGTGTTGTTGACTTGTTCAAAGAGCACCCGTGCAGCTTGAGGGTTAAGGTGGTGGTGGAAGGGTTCGCCCGGCTGTGGGAACTTGGGATTTCGAACTGATGCATTACGGTCGATATGCTGGAGGGGGCTGCTGATCCCCGGTTGGTTTGAATGTGCGAGGCCATGGTGAGGCTCCCCTCCTCGTATGGAGCAATTCTTCGCTCGTGGGGCTGAGGAGCCGGGACACCGATCAGTTGCCACCACGAAATGAAATTACGCCAGACAGAAGCTTGGACGCGGGCTCGATGACCCTGATGATTGACCCAACTAAGAATTCAGCCTCACGAAATCGAGTCTCGCAAGCGGTCTTTTTCTAATATGCTCTATACTGTGTGCGCTTGAGATTCGTGAATGAAAAATGTACTACATTCATTGAGTGCGACGCCACAAAAAAGGTAAAAGTAGAGGGGAAGAGATTGGCGTATGTGCCGGACATATACCCCCTTCAGAGCCATTTTGCGTGCACTCCACTACGGTTTTTGCATGCACACGGTGCATGCTTTTGCTGTTTCTTGCTTTGTGTGTCTGTGCGCGTGTGTGCAGGTGCGCGTATGCATACATACACATGTGTGCGTGTGTGTGCTCAGCAAGAGGAGGAGAAGGAAGGGTAGTCCAGCCCGTGGCAGACATGATTGGTAAGGGACCGAAGGGAGAACGGCAACATATCCTACGACCAACGAAATATGGCGTAGAATTCTGCATCCCATGCACCCTCCAAACCAATTACCTGTATATACTTTATTGTTGTTACATAGTTCAGAAAGTGTTCAAAGTGGAGATGAGGACCTGATGACCAAGAGTTAGGGGGAAATGAACATTCATGCAGTCCTGACGCACCCGCTCCCATTGTAAATATGCCCTTCGCCGAGCGTAAAACACGTCACGTCCCAAAACGCAGATTTATCTCGTCTTGGAAATCACTGAAATGATTTTAGGTCGTTCGTTCGGACATTAGTAAAGTACGGCCCTAAAGCGCACGCACACCTAGACACCTTTCACAATTCCCATCCGTGTTAGTTTCCCTCCCTATCCGAGGGCCAAAGCACACAGAAGCACGCTCCCAAGTTCCTATGGCAGTGTGCCGAACACCATAAATATATTGCGAAAATGCATCCATAAGCATATCGCGGCAGACCCCAGACAGTGTCTACACAAATTTCAGCCAACACGGTAACACTGTATGATCAACAGGATGTGGAGAAATGTTCATCCCTAATCCCGCCAAAACAATTCAAAAGGAAAACGGCGAATGCGCTTTGTTGTGTCGCTGTGTGCATCAAATTCCCATTCCAGTTTACGATGACAATGTTCACGCCAAATGCCATGTTTGTAGCTGTAGGGACAAAAAGCTACCAAATCGCCATACGAGATCACACAATAACGGCTGCGGATGCTGCGGGTCCCCCGTCTCCCATACAAATGTGGCCCCCCTCCGTTCCTCTCCCTTTCCTCATACAACGACTCTGATAATGATTATCATCCCGCATTACGAACTCTTTCACGCACGCGACACCCTGAACACCCTCCTCTCCCCTCCTCCTCCGTGCCGAAGGAACGAGACCCATATCATAATAATTCACCAACCAGTTTGTAAACACAAGTACGCAAGCGTCAACAAGGAGATATCATCACGAGAAGACCTCTCCATCCGCATCCCTCTACTTTCAATTCTCTCCTCTTCCCTCTCTCACCCCAGAACATGCGACCGCCAAATACAGGTGGTAACCCGCATTCAACGCAACCTGGACAGAGCACAACCCAAAATCAGATCGGTCACCGCAGCCTACCGGGGACCACCCGCAGAGCCCCTCAGTCGTTGTCGTCGTCGTCAGACCAGGCGGCACCAAAAGGGGGTGCCAGCATCGCGACCGGGGGTAAGGGGGACCCAAGCACCGGTGCGACGAACAAAGTCCGATATCTCCGTGTATCGTCGTCGACATGTATTGTCAACCCCACCGCCAATAGCCATGTGTTACAGCCAATGTGCTGTTGGAGCCCAACCTTGCGCGCGTGTGTGTGTGTGTGCGTGAGTGTGTTTAGACCCCCCTTCAAAGAGTCTCGATCAAATTATGACTCTCACTCCAACTCAAAAAACGTTGGTTTGCTGCCCCTGCGTACCACTAAACTTTATCAACACACGCCAACAGAGCTGTGCTACAAAACATCCTTACCAGTTTAGATTATAACTGAGCCCTACCGCGTACGTGAAATGAGGGGGGAGAGAGTAAAGAGCGTGGGTATGGTAAGCATGAGAAACCACGCGCATGAAATTTAGCAGTGCTAGCAGGGGTCTTAGGAGATGAACAAGAAGGGTTGTCATCATTCCCTTACCCAGCTTGGCGGCAGACTCCGTGACAACACTTTGTACGGAACTTGGCATATCGCCCCCGTGCCGTTAACCCCCCTGGTCGAATGCCACACGGCGCCTTCCCTCCTGGCGAGGATAGCTGATGGTGGCTTGCTTGAGCTTCCAAAGTCACTGACCCCGGCAACTTTCCCCCTCCCCAACCCCCACCCCACCCAAGGGAATGGATTTCCCCTCTCCCCCCTCTTGACCTCCGCAAGAGAGCCCCTCCCCCCCGAGCCGCTAGCCCTTCTCCTCTCCCCCTTCACCCACATCGTCTTTTGGTACGTCTCCTTTCACCACCGCACAACTCTTCCAGTGCTCACAACACCCGTGCACAGGCAAACAAACAAAACACCCACCACACCCTCTCGCTCTCTTTACGGCACCCGCGGCGTGCACGAACAGCAGCAGCAGCAGCACAAGACGCTATAGCAAACTAGCAATCAAGCCGAAGCATAATACGCCGTGCATTCGAACACTATGTGTGAGCCACAAAATGAATGCATCGAAACAATAATCAGACTTTTATCTCACCGATAGACAGCAACACCACTACTAGCAAGCAATGCAACGACAAATCTCACAATGAATGAAAGCGTCGCGAGAGCGACCTGCGGAAGAGCGGCCTCCTCAGAAAAGCAACCCAAACTAACTAAAAACAGGCAGCGCTCTCAAAAAGCAGTCAGCAAGGGGACGAGAAGAGGAGGGACCGCGACCCGATCTGCCCCTACCTGTCACCACATTAAATGACCCTGTTGCGACCCTGTAACCCTCGGCAGCGATTTGCCCCCAAACGGGGTTGGTGTGTACGGGCGGGGGGAGCGGGGAAAGGAGGTTCAAACGAAACGAAGGGAGGCCGAGTCCCTCCGGGTGGTCGGGCAGAGGATTCCGGGGAGGTTCCAAGTCCGCTTAGACGTTCCAAGACAATCGCGGATGGCATGGTGGATGTGTACACCACACATGTTCTCGCAGGGGCAAAAGACGATGCTACCAAAGCACACACGCGACCGCGTGTGCATGCGCGCCCTCATGCTGCGGGTGCCACGGGTTTTCCTTCGCGTCTTGCCTTCCCCCGGGGTCCCCCCGGGGTCCCCCCTCATACACCTCAAAGACTCCTCACGTGCTCTCTCTCACCCATCCACCTAGTATCACCCATATGAGACATAACAGACATACAAACAGACACCCAGGCATCCACATGTCACCGTACCACACCGTCACCATCATCATCTTCACCATCAGCAGCACCATCACCACACACAATGCCACTGGGCCCGCATGCTTGATCGCCCACAGCCCCACAGCCACCCCACCCCACCCCAAGCAGTGCAAAATTAAGCACCCTAAGTGAGCAAAGGCTCACAACAGCACCAGCAGCAGCACGACGACAATCAAAGCACAAATAATCAAAAAGGGGCCCTAAGAATTAAAAATGAAACGGTTTAAGGCCCAACAGGCGGCCCATGTTGTCAGCGGAGGTGGGAAGAAATCACGACACACCAGCGGGGTGGTGGTCGTGGTGGTGGTGGAGAAGGCAGACGCAGAGAGGTTTAGAGAGGCACAGAAAAAACGGAAGAGAGAAAACCGTTTAGGTCTCCCTTCTCCCTTCCCCCTGCACCCTCTCCCCCTTGCGCGTGCCTCCCTCAGGGGATCGACGCGTGTGTGTGTGTGTGTGTGTGTGTGTGTGTGCCGCTCACCGCCTCTTACCGGCCCGCTGCAGCGGCGGCCCCGGCAGTTGACATGTAAGTGGACGTGGAGGTGGAGGAGGTTGTCATTGTTGATGTCGCAGCACTGGATGTCATCACTGCTGAGCTCAGAGCTGCGGCCCACTCCACCCTCTGGCTGTACAAATAGGAGAGGTAGGGGTAGGCGCAGTTGTAGGCCGTGAAACAGAAGATGTGCATCAGGTTGTGGGAGAAGCCCTGTGGGGTGGCGGGTGGTGGGTATGGGGGTTAAGGGGGCGGGGGGTTTTAGCCGGTAAAAAGCCAGGGAGGGGGTTCCACCGTCAGGGGTAAATTATCCCGCACACACATACACAATGCACAACACACGGCCCGCAATCGACAGAACGGATACCCCCCTCAAACGACCCCCAGCACGCCGCAATCTCCCCTATGCTGGTGCAGCTGGTGCCCCCTTTTACCTCCCTTTCCCTCATACCCAGAAAAGCCCTCACCCCAACTCCACACCCCAAACCACCGCCTCATGCCTCTTCCCCCCTCCGGCCCTACCGCCAGATCGAACACTCCAGGGAAGTGCCGTTGCGGCCAGTGAGTAGCATACACCAGGGCCCCGCCCAGGTGGCAACTCAGCACCACCAGAGCGATACCCAGCTCGGGCCACATCTTGCCCTGCAGGAGCAATGTGTAACTGCGTATTTATGTGTGTATGTATGTGTGTATGTATGTATGTATGGTTCTCTCCGGTGTTGCTGTGTATGCAATGGCGTGTTGCGTGGGTTCCATCAACAAGTGTAGTCGGGGGTGAGGGTCTAAAGAAAAATACGTGCATGTATGCATGTATGTATAGGTGTGTGCGTTTTCCATACAGGCCGTTATTGAGATGGCCAAAGCAGGCCGCGAGAGACAGACCCGTGCAAGGCCAACAAAGGTCCCACTTTAACCGCACACTCCCTAAACCCTAGTAACCCCAATATTCTCCCGCCCTCGCCATCCGAGGCTTGACCTGAGTCGCCCGAGTCCGTGTTGTGTGTTTTTGCCCCTAGGACACACAGCCAGTACGAATTATCCAAACGCACGCTCCTCTCCCCTCCCGCCTCCATTTCCCCTCCTCCGCACCTGCAGCGCCATGGCCGCCATTCCTCTGACCACCAACGGCACGTAATAACCCAAACACGTCAGACCGATCATGCCCACAATGCGCCGCCGATCCAGCTGCTGCCGGGGCTGCAGTGCCAGTACCCGCTGGATGCCCAGTACGGCAACTGTAGCCACCAGACCCGTCCACAGGAATGATAACACCAGTCCAAAGGTGAAGTACGACAGTGCGTACGTGGCACAGGTGTTGAGCACGAGGATGAAGGTGAGGTCGAGTTTGCGCCAGCGGTTGGCGACAGTTGGAGACTGTTGGAGGGCAGTGGGATTTGGGAGGTGGGGGTTTGGGGATAGGGGGTTGGCTGGTAGCAGACTGCGGCCCCATCATGGTTGCAAGTAATGCCAGCCGTATGATGGAATGGGATGACCACAACACGCTGTATACCTAGGGTCTGGGAAACTTGGAGACCGCCCCGACCCACCCAGCCAGCAGGACAAGCAATGTCCAGCTGTCTATCATTAAACATTTGCCTTCCTCTGACCTATGGCTGCGTTCCATGGGCCAATTAATGGGAGAACATGCAAGATATCAGCGTTATATCATTCAAATTTACTGGTTCCATCCTACAGGTAACTCACCATGCACATGAAGGTATGGTAGCCGCACGACAAAGGACCGTGCAGTGTTTGGCCAATCCACGCTACCAAAAATGGCGAAAAATCGACCCAGCTGCAGCGCAGGTTGCTGACTGTGTCCGCGAACAGCACTAAGCCCATAATCACTGACAGCAAAGTGGTCCACGCGTTTACCGTCTCATTATGTAGACTGAAAAGACTTAGCAAGCATTCAGCGTAGCTTCCACCGCGACGATACCCATGCTTAAGAAAGGGGAAGCGCTGCCATGCCTCGACCTCGTCGGACGTCAAGCCAATGGTCAGTGACGATTTTAGCGGTTGCTTCCAGTGATCATCTTCGATGCTAAGACTGCAGTTTCTTCCAGCTTCGCACTCGGCCAATTCCCTCTGGCTTGGCCTCTGTTTCAAGGGACTGCCCTGCCAGGGCCGGGCGCTTGTGTAGCAACTGTTACGCGTGGTGTCTGAAACTCCATTCGTGTACGAAACGTCGTTTCCTTGAGAAAACAGACGAGTCTCTGCCACCATTCGCCCTTCGAAGTCCGGCCGTTAGGCCACAGGATACCTAGTCCGTAGATTTATCTTTGGGACAGAAATCTAGCCATTTATGGCGGTTTTCGTGACAAATTGCCTGCCCATTGGTCTGTGCGCTCGGGGGATTTGCCTTAGTTGACCGAGAGTTGAATGTAGTACAAAGGTTGATGTTAAGTATCGATCCCATGCACTCTTAGTTTTTTAATTTACTATAGTAGCTATATGAAGGTGTGGCCAGCTTCATCTCTGCCGCCTTATGGTAAGGGCGCTGCATTGGAGCTTTATGATGCAGCATTTTACATAGGCTAAGGTTTTCAATCCTCGTTTAGCACATCATAAGTTAATGCAGCTTCGTTTATGTTGCTGGGCTTTGAAGGCAAACAGAGCGTGAAGGGGCAAGTAGCATGTCCCCAGGGAGCAGCGGTTTTGCCGCTGTTGTGGTACTGATAGCCATGTGGTACTGATAGCCAAATCGAGGATGAAAAACGTGTTATTGGAATGCCCAGCCTATAATGATAATCTTGCTGAAGAGGGTTTCGATCATCAACAGAGCATGTTGGAGGCCATGAAATGGGAACCAGTACGTCTGGCGAAGATCTTGGAACGTATGTGGGCTCACCAAAACTCAGTGACCCTGCTAGTCTGGGCTGATAGCGCGGGTTTCCTGTTCTCCGTGGCTTTTAGCGTATAGATATTGCCCTTGGGCCTTCGGCTCGTTTACAGGTATGGGGTCAATTTGCTTGTGCTTCAACCAAAGAAGCGACATCACCATTCAAGTCTGCAATCAGCGAGACATGATTGTGCCCGTACACTCACTCAAGCGCCCTGTAGCGCAGCCAGACATTTGCTCTTGCCTTTTCCCTTTCGTTACTTGACTGTCGCGGTTTGCCGATGCAGCTCCGCATCACATCCTGGCTCTTCCCGGAGTTTGACTGCCTACTTGCTGCCTACCTGCCTGCCTGCCTGCGATAAATATAACGGGTCGCAACCAGCAACGCTGCATTCTTGTCTTATCCACGCAACACCTCGGGAGTCCTCTGCGTCTCTTCCTCCTCTCTCTCTGCTAACCCTCTATCCTCTTGTAACTCATCTAAACCATTCCGAAAACTCCAAAATTTCTCTGTCAGGCCCCTCAAGAGGGAGTAAATAGAAGCAAGAGTACACCACCACTGCCCGCCTAAATTCTCTAACTCCCTTTCTCTCACCTCCTAAGAAGTCCGGTTAGGGTTTGCGAAAGGGAAGATCCTTCGCATCACCACCGCCACCACCGCCACAACTCGCTGCTGCAAGCTCCCGGCCGCGCATTGTGCAGAGTGTTGCAGTTCCCCTGCATTACACGACCCTCCTACTCGCCACACACCCGCCCCGTGCCGCCCACCCGCGCCGGCATATTCCCTCCACATAGCCCATGTCCCCTCCTAAACAGGTCTCCCCTTCGCCCGTTTGCCGTTCACTGCATCGACGGCCTCCAGCCAGCAGCCTTCGCCTCCGTTTCCGTACAGAAAAACCGCTCGCCGTCCTTCAAATCAATGCGCACTGAATCGTAGAACTTTCCAGACGGCATGTGGTAGATCTTCTGCCCGTTGGAGTTGATGTTGCCCTTGATGGCGGGGCCGTTGGCGCACTGCGGCACGGGGTCGCCACCGTTAGCGGCCGCAGCCCCTGCCGCTGGTGTGTACGCGACGGCCGCCGCCACGGGGCCCACCTCAGAGCGTTTGTTGGCCTTCCGCCACTCGCTGGGTACCTGGAACTGCCCCTGCCACACGCCCTTCCCAGCAGTGTGGGCAGCGTCCTCCAGCGGCACGTACTCCTTGCTGTACTCCCTACACGTACGGCAATGGGGCAATGTGGTACGACATGTAAGCGTGAAGGTACGGGACGGCGAAGGGTTATACGCTGTTGCCGGTGGTTGAGGACGGATGGTGGTGGTGGTAGCGGTGGTGGTGATTTCAGCGCAGCGGAGTCGACTGCATGGCTGCATGGCTGTCCTGTATTGCGTGCTCCCCTAGGTTTGAGGTGGTGTGGCAGGGCAGAGTACGGCAGGGCAGGGTACGGCTGGGCAGGGTACGGCAGGGCAGGGTACGGCAGGGCAGGGTACGGCTGCGGAAGCACAAGAGAGCATAGGAGATGCAATTTTCCTGTACGGCTATGGATGAGTAAGGGCGTGAAGATGCGGTGCTCGTAAGGGAGTTCTGGAGGGTATGCCTCTCTAGTGCGTGCATATGAGTATCGCGGCCGCATCCCCCAGCAATTTAGTTCACATTTAGATGTCGCGATGTCGCAATTCTTCCAGTTGTAAACATCTGATCCTAGGGCTTTCATTACACAGGATGTTACTTTTAGAAGCTGGAAAGCTGGGCCGTTTTAAAGCACTCTTAGTTGCGCACGTACCGGTACGCCACCGCATATCCATTGCTGACCAGCCATGAGTTGAGCTCCTCGGCGCCGGTGACGGACTTCAGGTTGCACACTGATACGTTGCGCCCATACATGTCAGTGTTCTTAACGTCGCACGCAACCGGAGAGCTGCCGACCTTCTTAGCAAGGGCATCCTTGCTAACGAGTCCGCAAGGGTACGATGCGCCGCGAGCGTCCGAGCACTGTTGGGCGCTCTCAGGAGCATCCACTCCATACAGACGAATACGCTCTCCGTTAATGACCTGCGCGATTTGTTTGGCGAAGTGGGTTGGATGTTTCCGGACTTCCGGCAAACCAATAATTGGACAGGTTAATAGCCGTATAGTAGAGCACCGAGGCAGTAACTCACAAGCGTGTCGCCATCCACAACGCGGGCAGGTCCCTCAATAACACTGGGCGCAGCAACTGCTCCGGACGTGAGGACGATGCACGACGCAAAGCCAGCCAGGAGAGTTCGCCCCGCTGCCGAAGCGGCATTCGCAATGCTACATAACAAACATCCACACACAAGTAGAGAATGAATGCAAAAGGCTTATATATTCAAGGAACCGGCGAGTTCAGCTAGCACAGGTTTCCCGACACAACACATCAGAAGCCCTAGGCTATGGCACACCTCATCTTGCGATCTTGCGATAACTTGCAAACAGGCTTGAACGCCGACGCGCGCTCGCGGTGGGTAATAGTGGTTGGCGCATGCTTGCACGTCATCCGCATTGTTTGGGCCATGATCAATTAATACTTTGATATGTGCCTTTAATATGTGGCTAAGAGGTACTCTCTTCAATTCTGTTTTCAGCGGATATAAATCAATTGTAGCCGTCTGGTCGTTGGCCGTTGTGCCGAGCACAAATCGAAGCTACACGAAATCACATGAGCGACATGCATCCCTTCATGTGCCCGTCCGCCATCAAGGCGTTGGATAAATCCGTAATGGGTGGTTGATGGATGCCTCATCGCGTCGAAATCTACACGTATGCGCATTATCCTGGAACCTCTTAACACTGTGCAGTTTTTGATTGTCAATTCCTGTCAGAACGTGACAGGACTAAAAGCTTGAGGCAGTTCAGCCATACGAATCGTTATTGTGGTATGATTACAGTCAGACGGTTCCGCTTGCTGCCAGCTGTCAGGTCGGTTCAGGTCCAATCATATGGAGCTTTAAGTCTTACCAGTGTTCCCATGAGTATAAGTTTTGATTGTTTAAAATATTTTGCATATTGGCCGATCCAGTCGTCCTCTTCACCGCACGATGCGGATGGTAGGCCTGCACGCCTGCAGCTTGCGTATACCAGCTTTGAACTTCCCTACTGGTATGAGAAATAGATGGATTGGGGGCATGTGTGCTTGTTGAGCGAACGTGTCGCCGCCAACCTCGATGTCGTCGCCGTCACGCCGATATGTTGGTTCGCCAGCCGTATCCTGACAAGCTACCTACGTGCCATCTAAGTCGCCAGCCCGCGATAATGTCTCAAAACTCTTTCTAACGCCCATGAACATGAACAAAATACCAGCCAGCTATGGCCGCCCTGTGTCCGCGTGCTTCGTGCCTGTCATTCTATCTTGTGCGTGCGTTTTCTGGATCCGCTGTGTACCCCGCCACCCCGAGGAGCGATATGGAAAGTTTTGGACCTCATGACCAAGGTCCTTAGTATTTGTTACCGGTAAAGCAAACAAAGAAACGAGCCTCGACGTCATGGCGGCTGCGCTTCCTTTACCTAGCATGCCTTTCCTCAATTCCAAGATAGCGCACAGTAAAGTGAGTCGCACTCCACTCTGACACCACCGCTTTTAGCTTCCTGGCAGCCCATAAAAGAGCAAAGACGCGCGTGCCCATACACGCCGCGCATTACCGCCAGGTTGTTTCCAGACACGGGCACGCAGACAGGCACATACACATGTACACATGTACACACACACACACACACACACACATTGGAGAGCGGCCGCTGGCCGCCGGCTGACGCAGGCTTTGCAGACGGCCGTTCGTGGTGTTACGTCGTTCTCTCGAGCCTCCTTGTGTCTTTCTCGGGTTCTTTATTTTATTCAGGGGGACACGACATTGTGGCAACCGCACCGCCGCGGCTGTAGACGGTCCCGCCGTCCAGCAAGCAGGTTGATTTCGTTTCGTTCCGAAACCACGACGCTTATGGCACCAGACTCGTCCCCTCCGGCCTCCGCATTTCCATAAAGCAATCGAACGAACACGGAGTCGAATAAACAGGAAAAAGCGCACAGCAACAGAGCCCGGAATAGCTGGCACATGTGGTAAGATTCATTTCTCATGCTGCCCAGAATGCTGCCCAGAATGGGCAGACTACTCAATCAACCACCATAACGAAAGAAACCAACCAACCAACCAGGCAACGGACCAACCACCCAGCTAATCATGTACAGCCCAGGTGAAGTACATTGTACTGGAAAGCAGACGACAATTCGTACGGCTGCAAGACAGTGCGAAGCTATCTACTGATGACGTTCGCAAAGAAGCGCCGCCTCCAGGTTTGTACACTACCCCCTCGTTGTCGCGGGTCATCATCGTTGCCGCCGAAGGCGAGAATGTGTGTATGTATGTGTGTATGTATGTGTGTGTGTCCCTCCCCAGAGCTCTACAGCTGACACCAATCCCACGAAAACCCGCGACGGCGGCGGCGGCAGCGGCGGCCTACATATTTCTACTAAAACCCGACGGAAAACTGAATCCGTGTGTGTTTGTGTGTATGCGTTTGTGTGTATGTGTTTGTGTTATTATCCCAAGTCGTAATCACCACATCTGCCGTTCTCCACAAGCTCCCCTGCCCTCTCCAATCCGCATCAGCCGCGCCTCAGCACCAGCAGCCGCAGTAGTAGTAGTAGCTGTACACGTGGCTCCTGCGGCGGCGGCCGCGGCGGCGGCGGCAATGACAGCTACGTACAAAATCAGCAGAGATTGGAGAATGGACATACACACATACATACACACAGATCATCTAAACACACACAGACACACGCACACACACACTAGAGCAGCAGCAGCAGTTGCCAGCGCAGACAGCAGTGGCAGCAGCAGCAGCAGAAGAGAAAGCAGCGAAAGGAAACGATGCACAGACAGATATCCCAGCAAGCAGCTAATCAACTCTTACCAACCGCCGCCGTCAACAACTAATCTTAACACGCTTCCACTGCATGTGGACGTATCTAACCGAAATGGCAACCTAACCCCATAGCCGAGCTTCGTCGCGCGTCCTCCTCCGCTTCCTTCCTCAGCTTGCGCTCAACATTCCAACCAACCCCACCAACTGATCCCAACGACACTAACCACCTCTTACCCACCTCACATCATGCCCCCTACCCGCATCGTGGCCCCCAGCCGTCGTCGGTACGACGCCGAGTACGAAAGCCGCCACCCCGCCGCACCCCCTTCCCACGCCCAAAACTGATGGGGCCGGGTAGGGAAGGGAATGTTTTGAACATCCGTCTGCCTGTCTATCTGTCTATCTGTCTGCCTGCCTGCCTGTGTGTATTTATGTATGCATGCAACACGGGGAGCCGTACCAACATGCTACCGAAAAACTCCCGTACGTCCCGGACACCTCCTCGGCCCCACCCTTCCAGCGCCCACCACCAATCCCAGGACGAGTGCCCAGCAGCAGTACTTACAGTACTAACAGTGGTAGTAGTGGTGGTAATAGCAGTGTTAGTGTGTAATCCAGTTCCGTAATCACAGGGCTGCAGTTGCCCGTCAAAATACACACACCACACAACACCACACCACACCACACAACACCGTTAACTGTCAAAAAGGGCGGTGTCATAGCCACCAAGATCATCACCAACCACGGTCATTATCATCAGCATTATCCCAGCAGAAAACCATCACCACCTTTAGAATGACAAACGCTGCTTTTCGTCAGTTATGCAGCTGCTGTGAATGTGCCATCAATCACATGCCGGAAGGTTGCTGCTGCTACTGCTGCTACTGCTGTTGTAAAGAGATCCGCTTTTGTGGCTGAAGAAGACTGAACTCCATCACCATCATTTAAGCCACCGTCACCGCCACACCCCGGATGTATCCAGAGCCGACCCACTCCGAGCACATCCGCCCCCTCCTCATGCGCGCCCAAGACAGAGGCAAGGCTGCTGCGCATAGAGGAAGGTTGCACGGCCTTACTCGCACTCCTCCTTAAAACTTGCGCTCTCATCATCACATGCTGCCCAGACAGACAAACAGACAGAAACACATGCACACACACACATACATAAACACACAGAAAAACCGCTGCCACCACCCATCGCCACTCGCGGCTCAGTTCATTTAAACACACAAAACTGGCACACATCCCCCGCTTGGCCTCCAGACAAGCGACACCCACACGACGTCCACTCGCAGACACATCCAGGCTGGCGGGTTTTCTTCCCCCCGGGGAGGGGGAGGGGGTTCACCCCTCGCGGAGGTGGACGCGACCACCTACCGCCTTCCCGCTTCCAGCACCCCCCCCCTGTCCTCCTACTCCTCCCCCCAGTCATCGTACCGCTGCACGTCGTACAGCAGCGGCGGCGGCGGCGGCGGAGGAAGAGAAAAGTATATCGGGTCTCCGGTGCTGCTCCCCCCCGCCTATTTACATGCCCTTCTGGTCCTCTCCTCGGGCTCGCATGTCGAGCCGTGTCTGAGGCCTGTCATGATTGCGGCCCGAGCGGCATCATTCCTAAATGTACAGACCATGTAATTGGGGGCACCAGCAGAATTATTTTCCACGGGTTGCCAACCGGCTGCCCCGCGCTTCCCTTCGCCTCCCCCGCCCCTCCAATGCACCGTCCAGGGATTCTTGGAGGCAATCTGTTTCCAGCCTTTCCGATGTGTCCGCAAGTACTTCTGTCTATTTACCTGCCTGCCTGTCTGTCTGCCTGTCTGTCTGTCTGTCTGTCTGTCTGTCTGTCTGTCTTTAATTGGACGGGTTATTAAAACGTGTGAAGGTGGCCAGGTGGTTGGATGCGGCGGGCCGTGCCCTGACCTCCTCGGCCGCTACTGCCGTCACCGCCGCCGGTCTGCTACTGCTGCTACATTCGCAAATCGCAAAGTATTCGGCCACACACATCCATAAAGAGGAACAGCTCCCCGCCCATGCGCTACGAGGTTGCGGAGGGTGGGAAGGTGGGAGGGAGGTTGCGGTGAGAGAAGTGGGGGGCGGAGGGGTAGGAGGACAGGGAGAGAAATGTACGACGGTATGTATGTATGTATGTATGTATGTATGTATGTATGTATGTATGTATGTATGTATGTATGTATGTATGTATGTATGCATGTATGCATGTATATATGCATGTATATATGCATGTATATATGTATATATGTATGGTTGTGGGGAGGGTGAGCTTTTTCAGCGCGCCACGCCAATCTTCGTACCTGAATGTCAATGACGTACTCGTCATCCCGTACTTTGTACATCTGGCACTCGAAGCGCAGGACGAAAAAGTTATCCGACTCCTGCAGATCGCAGTGGGCAGCCCGGTGGGCGACGAGCAACCGAGACCCCCACCGTTAACACAGAGCCGCCGTCGCGGTCGTCCGCCCCGCAGGTGCGCCAGCGCAAAGTTCTGTTCCATGTCCGCCGCATCCCAATCTGTCGCACCGAATGTGCCACCACCTCCTCTAACCTCCACAGCCCCTCCGGGAACCGCAAACGCATCCCAACTAAAAAGCCCCCCACCCCCTATCCCCCCACCCCCTATCCCCCCACCCCCGA